TGGGTGAAGGGAGACATCAGTCAGTGTAAGACATGAAAAAATAATAATAATTTATAAATTATCAAGGGTTCATGAGGGAGAGAGGGTGGGAATAAAACAAAGAGGAGCTGATACCAAGGGCTCAAGTAGAAAAAAAAAGTTTTGAAAATGATGATGGCAACACATGTGCTTGACACAATAGACATGTATGGATTGTGATAAGAGCTATCCGAGCCCCCAATAAAATGATTACAAATAATAATAATAAACAAATAAAAGTACTGCTGCAAAAATAATGCAATGCTTCGTTAAACAAAGATATCTAAGTGTGAAGTTATGCTCAGCATAACCTCCCTCAAGGGCACCTGTACACTTCTGAAGGGGTCTTTCCATCTAGATAACCCTTCACTAAAAGAATTTGGCACTGTTTGGCTTACACCATGTCCAAACAGTGGTTTGTGTGTCCTTGACTCAACTGTGTTCCTTTGAATCTGGGAACTAAAAGGAAGCCTGAAGGGGCAATCTCAGTGCTGTAGGCTGCATGATGGGATAAGGTTTCCCCGTGAAATTCTCCTAGGGCAACGTTCTCGCTACCTTCCAAGACTGAGGAGGGGCATTGTTGTGATGGAAAACGAATTCCTCAGTGCAGGTTTCCGGACCTTTTCCCTACTCGTGTGGTTTTCAACTCTCTGAAAACAACTTGTTTCTTTTTTTCTCCAGAGGCAATACACACAATTATGGGGTTTATTAGAGAAGCAAACAGGTTATATTAAAAAATGCTCTGAATATTGTTCTTTGGGTTAGGAGTCTTCTGAACTGTACCCACAGGAACACTTCTCTCTGGTTCTTACAATCTCAACCACGTGGCGTTTTGGCTTCTGCTCTACCTAGTCAATATCATAAAGCCCTTTCATTAGGTCTGCCAATAAATGCCTGAAGGGCATGCCACTCCATCAGAAGGCTCAGCTCAAAGGTGCTTTAGCTGAAAACTTCTTAGTGAGATCCTGTGATCACCAAGCATTTTCCAAGAAATCCTCTCAAGATCACTCCTTTGGAGTCAGAAATACCTCTAGAACCTTCTGAGCTGACCTTTCAGCCTTGACTGGACCCAGCAGACCCTTTGGAAGCCACTGTTTTGCTTGGACTTTTTTCTTTTTTTAAAGCCCCCCCTAAGGAGAGCAACACTAGTGTTTGCCTGAGAGGACTCTTTGGCAGAGCTCAGAGAAGCGTTTTGACATGTTTTGTTTGGAAGACACATGCAGATGTGAACTGGAACTGCCGTAGCAGTACTTTTTCTTTTTTAATCATTTTTTTGGGGGGCTCTTACAGCTCTTATAACATTCCATGCATCAATGGTATCAAGCATATTTGTACATATGTTGCCATCATCATTTCCAAAACATTCTCCTTCTGCTTGAGCCCTGGGCATAAGCTCCTCAGTACCTTTTGACTGACTCTTGTACTTTTCTTGTTTCCAGTCTCCCTCCTTTAAAGATCTGCTCACCACCAGCCTTCCACCCTCAGAGCCTTCCCACGTTTACTGTTCAAGATAAAAAATATATACATCCCCAGATGTGCAGACCACAGAAACAGGACCACCACCAGATGCAGTTTCACACGAGGCCTTTCAGATTTTTATTCTGAGAATGTTTGGTTTTTTTCCCTGGATAGAACCATAGCATTTTTAGCATCTGCATTTTTTCACTTAACCTGATACAGCACACCAATTGTGTGTGTGTGTTACACTAATGATTCTGCGTAAGTATTATTGCTGATGGCTTCCTAACATGCTAACTGACTGTTGTTTTTTCCAACAATCCACTCACTGGTAAAACATAGCCAGCATTTTCACTTTTTTTCTTCTTCGTCAAATCTTAGGATGAATTATGTTGTGATGGATTCAAATCTTGCTCTGAAGTTTGGCCGCCTCTTTGTAATGTCATTCCGAAGCCAGGGCCTCATGTACGTCAAGGGTGTGAAAGTGTTGAAGCAGAGTCTTGAGCGCATTGCCAAAGGGCGTTCCGTGATGATTATAGGAATGGACCCTTCCAGTGTGTTCGAGGGCTGGTCTCAGTGCCACTTCACCAGCGCTGAGGTTTTTGTGTTTCTTGCCTTGTTTGGGCTTTTGAAGTCCTTGCTGATTTGGTTCGTTTTTATGTGTGGCATGCTGCTGAGGATCGTTAAGATGTCTTTGAAAAAAGGCCAAGTTAAACATGCCTTTTGGATCATGTTGACCTTCTTGTCGGTTCGTGTCACCCGTCTGTTCAACTTTGATCAGTTCCTTCTCATGGTCTCCCTTATCCAAGGGATGTACTTGCAGACTTGAGTATAGACACCTGGATCATTGGGCTGACCGCAAGGGAATGTTCCCCAGGAGACTATACCTTGCAGGGTCCCTTTGCACATCAAGGGCCCCCCAGAGTCACCCTAGAATGGAGAGAGATTGAGAGCTTAGTTTGGATAAAGAGAATTCCTACTTCCCTCTGGTGTATTCACCACCCCTCTTCCCTGTCACCAGTCCTGTTCCCTGACCAATAGGAAGAGACCCATTGTCCATGGAGGCCAATGGAGAGGCAGGACTTAGTGTTGTTCCAGAGCCGATACACCCAGCTCTTTTAAGGCAGGAGCTTGTGCTCTGGCCAATGGGATCCATCACAGGCCTGGAGGTGGGAGGTGGGTGGTACTTCCAGGAACTAAGAACAGAATTTATTTCCCAATAATCAAGACTCGACTCCAATCAGGTAAAAGAACAAACACGCATTATCTTCACGGGATTGATATGAGGAAGCGTCAACAAATTTGTGGGCACATTTCACTGTCTTTTAATTCCGTTTCCCCCCACAAATTTTTTGAAGCCCCCTCGTGTATGTACACCTTGGGGTATGAAAATGGGGACAGGGTGGCCCTGGAAAGCAGGAACAGAGCCAGCTACCCGGTTCCCAGGGCCTGCTGCAAAAGGATTTTGTGCACAGTAGGATGAAGAATTCAAGAAGGTGGCAGGAAGGCGTTAAGCCCAGCAAAGGCCCTTCTGAGCATGGCGCCCCATAGAACCGTACAGCTTCCTGCAGTCAGCACACCCTCCTGGATCGTCACCTCCATCCCCTACGACTCACACCCCCTGAAAGCCACCTCCATCCCCTATGACTCACACCCCCTGAACGCCTATGGCGCACAGATAAGCAAAGAGACTGAGGTTAGTGGGAGAGACGCACGCAGAAAGGGAGAGAGGGAAGTGGGGATGACACAGAAAGCCAGCGTCGTTGCTTGCCGTCCAGTCGTTCCCGCCTCATGGCGCCCCCACGGGTGCCGAGTTCACCCCTCCAGGGGCTTCTCAAGGCTTTATGGAAGCAGATCTTCCCAAACGACTTGGGGCGGGTTCAAACCAGCAACCTACAGGTTAGTAGGGGAGCGTTTTGCCATTTGCACCACTCAGGGACTCCTTCGGAATCGGCATGTGTGTGCTATGCATGCTGTGAGTGTGCGTGGTCTATTGAGTTGATTCCAACGTATACTATGTGTGTGTGTGTGCGCGCGCGCGCGTGCGTGCGTGCATGCGTGTATGTGCTTCCTCTTGAGTCGATTCCAACTCATCATATAGGACCCAGCGAAACTGCACCCCCTACGGGTCTCCCAGGTTATAGCCGTTTGAACCCACCCGAAGTTCTGAGGGAGCAAAGACCTTCGCCCTCTGCTCCTGGGAAGATGGACAGACGGGGAGATGGACAGGTGGGGAGATGGACAGGTGGGGAGAAGGACAGATGGGGAGATGGACAGGTGGGGAGGACAGACTGGGAGATGGACAGGTGGGGAGATGGACAGGTGAGGAGATGGACAGGTGGGGAGA